ACTCTTCTCTTCAGGTCTGCATTAATTGTCCATACTTGATAGGTGATTGTCCATACGTGAAATAGTATCACCTTGTCTAATACCTTTACCAAGACGCATTTTTTCAGTTTTTTCGTCTTCATTGATTTTGATGTAGCCTGTTCATAAATCCCTCAGGGCTGACAAAAACGACCAAGTTTCAATACTATCGAGAGCCTTGTTAAAGTCAATAAAAGCCATATGTAGAGGTACATTATATTCTGTGGTTTTTTCTACCAGTGTTCTAATGGTTTGTAAGTGATCGTTAGTACCAAAGTCTTTTCTAAATCCCGCCTGTTCAACCGGTTCTTTTGTTGGTTCTGTAGTGTTCAATCAAATAAGAAAACTAGCTTTGGTTTGTTTGACGCCCTTAAATTAATTTTTAGGGTAGGCCGATATTATTGGACTATAATACATAAAAGACACAGGTAACGGGTTTGCAAGTAATGCACTACAGGCGAGATTGGAGGGGGGGGGCAAAATGAGCTTTTTTTCTGATAGGAATATAGAAAATGGTAAAAAAAGAAAACAATTCTAGTAATAATACGCTAATCTGTGCGCATAGAATTTATTGGTAAATATATTATGTTTATTATGTTTTGACTGTTAAAATAGACAATAAAACCCGACCAATAAAAATAAATCGTGGAATAAATCAAGGAGATACATTGTCGCCGAAATTATTCATAACGGCATTAGAATATGCCTTTAAGATGATCAATTGGGACCACAGAGGAGTAACGATAGACGGCGAAAAGCTTAACCATCTCCGTTTCGCAGATGACATTGTTCTTATCACAGATAATTTAGGAGAAGCTACAGATATGTTAAACGAATTGGATTTTGCATGTTCGAAGGTGGGCCTGAGAATGAACTTGACCAAACTAAGTTTATGACAAATTTGGTCCCCAATAACCATTTGACTATTCAAGACAAAGTGGTAGAACTGGTGGAGAAATTTACGTATTTGGATCATGAAATAAGAATCAGCAGGGATAACCAAACATGTGAGATCCAAAGACGAATTACTTTAACATGGGCAGCCTTTGGAAAACTGCGAGACACACTTAGGGCCAACATACCAATCAGCCTCAAAAGAAAAGTGTTTGACCAATGCGTATTACCGGTCATGACCTATGGGGCGGAAACTATGACTTTAACCAAGACCACGGCTTCGAAACTGAGAGTGGCACAGAGACGAATGGAACGGTCTATGCTGGTAGTGACGTTGAGGGACCGAATAAGAAACGAAGATCTGCGAAGAAGGACGAGTATTACTGATGTTGTGGAACGCATAGCGGAACTAAAATGGAACTGGGCAGGCCATGTAGCGAGAATGCACGATTCACGATGGACGAGCAAAATTACAAATTGGAGGCCAAGAGCAGACAGACGCAGTAGAGGAAGACCACCTACACGTTGGGCCGACGACATCAGGCGTATCACTAAAAATTGGCAACAAAGAGCACAAAATCGTGAGGAATGGAGGAGTTTGAGGGAGGCCTATGTCCAGCAGTGGACGTGATAAATAGAGGCTGGATGATGATGATGATATTATGTTTCATAAAACAAAAAACTTTGCGTTTATTCTAAATGCTTTGTTTATTTTCTTCAAATTCCTTTAAAGTTGTTTTGGGTCAGAAGTTAGGAGCATAAATGAATGATTTGTAGTAAAATAAACATTTTACATAAAATTTAGTTTATCAGGAGCTTTGCCAATTTAGTATTATATTGTGTATAGTAATGAATACAGAATAGTTTGTTGGCTTACTGTTTAGTTAAAAGAATATTATGTAGTGTAGCATTTTCAATAACATAAAACGATTGCCAAAATATTAAATAAATATAAATAAATTATTATGGGAGACATCCCAATTGAGTTGATAAAATATGGACCAAAAATATTACACGAGCTGATGGTTAAACTATTTAATAAATGCTTAAAAGGACAAAATATCCCTGATGATTGGAATGTTGGATACATCAGCTCAATATACAAAAAAGGGGATAAACGCAATTGCTCTAATTATAGAGGAATAACTGTTACTAGCTCAGTGGGGAGGTTGTACGGTCGAATAAGAAAAAAACGAATTGAATCAGAATATGAAGACATAGAGGAACAAAATGGATTTCGGGCAGGAAGATCGTGCATTGATAATATATTCGTTCTGCAGCAGGTAATCGAAAAACGGAAGGCAAGGAATCTATCTACCAACCTATTGTTTATAGATTTAGAGAAGGCATATGATACGGTACCTTTGAAAAAACTATTTTATACATTGACGAAAGTAGGTCTCAGTAGAGAGTATGTGGATGCTATCGCAAATATATACAAAAATGCAAGAAGTGTCGTTAAAGAAGGAAACTTTATATCTGAATCATTTCCAATAACCAAGGGGCTTAAACAAGAATGTTGTCTGTCTCCGACCCTGTTTAAAATATATATTCAATCATCGCTAGAGCAGTGGAGAAAACAAGTATCCGGAATGGGAATAGACATAGGCGGTGGTGAATGTCTAACAGCTTTATTTTTCGCAGATGATCAGGTAGTCGTAGCGAATGACGAGGAAGACATGGACTACATGTTTAGAAAACTAAAGAAAGAATATGAAAAATGGGGCCTCAATATGAATATGGCAAAGACAGAGTATCTTAAAATAGGAGATGGTGAAGAAGATCCAGAGTTAGAAATTCGAAACACAAAAACATGCAATGAATATAAATATCTCGGATCTATAATATCTAAAGAAGGCACTACCAAAAGAGACATCGAAAACAGAACACAGCAGGGAAAAAAAGTGGTAAACATTCTAAACTCTCTACTTTGGTCTAAAGATATTAGACAAGAAACGAAATTGACAATCTATCGAACCTTGGTAGAGCCTATTATGACTTATGGGGCAGAGGTTTGGCAGATAACGCAGAAGGATAGAAAAAGAATAGAAGTAGTAGAAATGGATTTTCTAAGGAGAGCGTGTGGTATATCCAAAAAAGATCACATCAGGAATGAAGATATTAGAAGGAGGACAAATACTGTATATTCCAGTGTAGATAGAATTGAAACGAGACAACTAGTGTGGTATGGTCACGTGAAACGAATGAATGAAGACAGATGGCCAAAGAAAGCTTTAAATTACATACCACAACAAAGAAGAAGAAGGGGAAGGCCTTCAGTTGCCTGGGAAGAAAATGTACGGCACATAATGAGAGATAGAGCCATCAGAGAAGACGAATGGATGGGCGCCTATGCAAAAACTAATTTTGTTTTTGAGCGCAATAGTAAAAGTATATTACCTCAAATGTGGAAATCAATATGAATTCAACGTCTGAATTATTGGAATAAACACATAGAACATTTACCGATAGTTTTTTATCTAAGTAACAGAAAAAAAATAAAAGCAAATAGAATATAACCTTAACATGGGTGTGCATAAGGAACATTTTAACAGAAAAAAAAACGTAAGTTAAAATACAGTTCTACTCTACAACTCTGAAGTTCTGGTCAAAAATTTTGTTGGAATAAACTTTGAAAAGCAATCAAACAAAGCAAATGGGGAAAAGCACCAAGCCCAGACGACATATACATACAGGTTCTAACAATGTTGAGTGAAGACAATATAGACGCCTTGGTAGATCTATTTAATGACATTTATGGGTCCGGTCAAATACTACAGGATTGGCTTCAATCAACCTTTATACCAATCCCAAAAAAGCCAAACGCTAATAGTTGCGACCAATTCTGATCAGCTTATTGAGCCAGGTCTTAAAACTCTTCTTAAATATAATTCACATAAGAATATACAACATATGTGAAAGAGACATTAGCCCCACAAAGTTCGGTTTCAGACAAGGATTTGGCACAAGAGAAGCACTTTATAGCTTAACTGTCCTACTTCATAAATGCAGAGATCAGCAAAAAGATGTCTTCCTATGCTTTATAGATTATCAGAATGCATTCGATTGTGTTCGACAAAATAGAAGACACTGGATTGATTTGGGGGAGGCCTATGACTAAAGTTGGATTATTTAAGTCTGAAGAAGAAGAAGAAGTTCGATTCTTCGATTCGGAGAAGAACGTTCGATAGATGAGAATGACTTTAAAATCATAAAGAACGTTTATATTAATCAAGTGGCATCTGTAAAAGTAGGTCTGGAATCTACATCAAATTTCTCAATCGAAAAAGGTGTACGATAGGGTTGTGTTCTGTCACCCCTCCTTTTTAATCTTTACTCTGAAACGATTTTGGATAGAGCCTTAAGTGACACTGAAGATGGAATCAAAATCAACGGACAGACTATTAGTAATCTTCGCTATGCTGATGATACAGTCATAATAGCTGATAACCAAGAAGCGCTACAACGACTAATAGATAGACTAAACACTGAAGGAGAATGACTGGGCTTGAAGATTAATATAGACAAGACGAAGGTAATGGTGGTTATTAGAACACGAAATATGCAATTAAATATAATGGGTCATATATTTCGAAATTCCTAGTACCAGTTCTTATTATTGAAGGGAAGATAGAAGGAAAAGAGGGCATCGGAAGAAAGAAATACTCATGGCTTAAAAACATAAGGGATTTGACAAACCTCGATGTCCATGCACTCTTTAGAGCCACACAAGATCGAGAGGAGTATGCTAGAATTGTCGCCAACATCCATTAATTGGATAGGGTACCATAAGAAGAAGAAACTTTGAAAACATAAAATGCATTCTAAGTTCCTGTTTTCAAAATAACATTTTTTAATTTTTCAAATTTAATTATTATTATTTTATAATTTAATTAAGAAAAATCTTAATCTGTATAAAATTTAACTTTTAATTTCTTTAAAACCTTTTAATGGACATTGAACATTAAAAAGATTCTTTTAATATCTGATTAAGAATACATTTTTAAAAATAAAAAAAACTAATATCATTTTAAGGGTTAAAAGCTAGGTTATTACAATAAATAAATATTAACTACATTAGTACTTACGAACTGCTGGACTTGGTTTCCTAACAAAAAATGATTGCATATAAATAAATTTAAAGTCCACAAGTAAAACTTGTCCTTTTAAAACTTATATTTCACTGTTTTTATTCCACAAGTCACATACCCGCACAATTAAGAAAACACTACCAAAACTGAACTGACAGTTCGAAAAATGTCCTCATGCGATTGAAACTCGTCTCAAGATCGCGTTTCTTGTCTAATCACTTCCCTGCTGCTATCTCCTGCGAGATACTCGAATGACTGTCGTCGTCGAATTCTGTCTGTTCTGCCGACTCGCACCCGGCGCGAGGACGATGTCGCTGCCTGAGTCTCCCTGCTATGTTTTTCTGTCCGCTGTTGACTGTTGGACTGTACTATTGGGCTGCTCTGTTGGTTTGGTTGGGCTTGGGCATTTGAGTATTCGGTTGCCGCTGCCGCCTAGCCGGCTGGAGACGCACACGTTATGGTGGCCGTGAAGATCGGTGCAGGCCACACTGCACCTGCATTCAGGTTTAAACATAGTATGCGTAATGTAAATACATGCCTTTTTGAAATAAATGTATGCCTATATAGAAGATTCTATTCTTTATCTACTATGCTAGTTAAAAAGATAACTGAAATCATCAAAAATGTTCATATTAAACATTAACTTTTTAAAATCAAAAGACTGATATTTTTTTGTACACACTTATGACAAGTCGAAAGAAAATGTAAAAAAGTATTTTTGAAGTGTGTATATTTTAGGCAATTCATAGCTGAGCGCTTTCGGCTTTACAAAGCCATCATCAGAGCTATACTACAATAAAATGTTCTTATAAGTACTAATTGGTAAAGATTATAATTTTTAATTTACGTCAATTTTTTAAATACCACTACAAAGGAGAGATCTCATTTCCTTATATTTCAAAATTATGATTTTTTTAGTTGTTGAAATTCTTAAAACATATAAAAAACATATAAAAAGCCGACACTGGACTTCACAAACACGTTAAAAAAAATTGAAAATTTTTTTTTTTGTCATGGTACGGGTGTAAGAACCCGACCATTGTTTAATCTGAGGAGGTAGCCAGAATAGAACTAATGAAATCAAATGTCGGTCCTTTTAAACGATTTTTCAAAAGTGACAGTTGACAAATGTCATATATAGGAAATAGATATTGTTTTTTAAATTCTTACAAAATTATTTAATAGTTTGGAGTTACTAATAGTCATCAAAGACTTTCTAAAAATTAAGTTTTTAAATTAAATTTTATGTGTTCATCACATCATACAGAATGACATTAGTTTTTAAATTCACTCAAGTCATTGCTCAAGGTCAATGTATGTTCAATCTGACAGTTATCCCTAAGAAACAAGGGCTCAAATTGTGCAACAACAATATAAAGAAAACTGTTTTTAATTAATACATTAATACCATGTTTTTTTCTTTATATTGTTGTTGCACAATTTGAGCCCTTGTTTCTTAGGGATAGCTGTCAGATTGAACATACATTGAACTTGAGCAATGACTTGAGTGAATTTAAAAACTAATGTCATTCTGTATGATGTGATGAACACATAAAATTTAATTTAAAAACTTAATTTTTAGAAAGTCTTTGATGACTATTAGTAATTCCAAACTATTAAAATAATTTTGTAAGAATTTAAAAAACAATCTCTATTTCCTATATATGACATTTGTCAACTGTCACTTTTGAAAAATCGTTTAAAAGGACCGACATTTGATTTCATTAGTTCTATTCTGGCTACCTCCTCAGATCAAACAATGGTCGGGTTCTTACACCCGTACCATGACAAAAAAAAAAAAATTTTTTCAATTTTTTTAACGTGTTTGTGAAGTCCAGTGTCGGCTTTTTATATGTTTTTTATATGTTTTAAGAATTTCAACAACTAAAAAAATCATAATTTTGAAATATAAGGAAATGAGATCTCTCCTTTGTAGTGGTATTTAAAAAATTGACGTAAGTTAAAAATTATAATCTTTACCAATTAGCACTTATAAGAACATTTTATTGTAGCATAGCTCTGATGATGGCTTTGTAAAGCCGAAAGCGCTCAGCTAGGAATTGCCTAAAATATACACACTTCAAAAATACTTTTTTACATTTTCTTTCGAATTAACTTTTTAGTCTACCTAAAATGTCGGTATTTGTTTACATTTCTAAGGGTCGCTAAAATGCAATTTTTTTTGGACTGCCTGCAAAATGGAAAAACGACAAAAGGTTCGTGTTTTTTATTATGGAAACACAGGAAAAGTGCCCAAATGTTAAAAAAAAATTGAATAAAAGGGTTATAAAAAGTAGGAATTTGGAAAGTAGGAAGAGGAAAATGTTAGCAAAATAAGAAATAGCCTTAGGACCTGCTTATTTTACTAGTATTGTTGATGAAAATAAACTAGGGGATGGCTGGAGCAGTGGCCAGTCAGGTACAGTTTCCACTTTTAAATATTTTGTTACAGACGCGCCATCTAGTACAAACGCTAAAAATTTTAATCACAGTAGTCGCTTACTATGCTTAACCCCTGCGCCATCGTTTCCAGAACCATTTTGTATACGAACCTGTTGAGAGGTGTATTGTGTAGAGGTAGCAGATAAGTTTACACATCTTTTCGACCAATAATAATATACATATTAAATGTTCTGTATGTTTTGTGATATCATCATCATCCAGCCGAATTTTAACATCCATTGTTGGATATAGGCCTCCTCCAAACGTCTCCAGTTCTCTCTATCTCTAGCTGCTGCAATCCAGTTTGTTTCTATTCTGCCTAGTCTGCCTCGACTTCGCTTGTCGGCTCTTGGTCTCCACTCCAATAATCTCTTCGTCCATCTTCCGTCTTCCATTCTAGCAACATGTCCAGCCCACCTCCACTTTTGTTTATTGATTCGCAGTATAATATCGTCTACGCCAGTTCGTCGGCGTATCTCCTCATTTCTTACGCGATCTTTCAAGGTCAGGCCCAGCATTGATCTCTCCATTCGCCTTTGTGTTACCCTCAGTTTTTCGGCAGTAGCTTTCGTTAAAGTTAAGGTCTCTGCTCCGTAGGTCAAGACTGGTAAGATGCATTGGTTAAATGCCTTCCTTTTCAGGTGAATTGGGATATTTGTTTTAAAAATATATATTGGGATATTTGTTTTGTGATATACAGTATAGTATTTAAAACTTACAGGTGATGCAAATTATGATCTATCTTCACAGTAATAGATTTTAGAATAGGCTTCCTAAACAATGAGCTTTTGGTACAGTGGTTACACACTTATGCAGAAACAATGGCCACAGCTTTTGACAAAAAAGTGGTGGCCACTGTTCCTACATACGTTTGTAAAAAGCAGTGGTCATTGTTCTTTCTGCAAAAAATATCAAAAATAATTTTGTTTTAGATAGTAATATGCCACGGAAATACCAAAAAATCCCGGTATTGGAAAAACTACAGATGAAAATACAAGAGAAGCGATTTATAATGTTTGGGAAGGTAGATTATTATAAAAGGCTGTTCCACGCACAACGTTTAGGAGATATTTTAAAAAGTGCAACGAAAATAAAAATAACATAGATTGGACTTCAGATGTTCTTGAGGGAGCTCCAAGATTGACCCCAAATTATGGCATCAATAAAATTTTTTCTTCAAGCCAGGAAAAAGAAAAGAAGAGGAAAAGGAAAAAATTATTTATAGACGATGACCAAGCTTCATAATGGTCTCAATCCGAAAGGTGCCAGACAACTAGCTTATGATTTGGGAATTGCTAACAGGACAAAAATACCAACTTTATGTGAAGAAAACAAGATGGCAGGCAAGTTTTTGTTTACAAGTTTTATGTAACGAAATTTAGAATTATCATTACAATCAGCAGAAGCGACTTCACTAGGTAGGTAATGGGGTTTAATCGACCAGTTGCAAATTTTTTTAGTAATCTTAAGAAGCTTTATAAAAAATATGCTTTAACGCCTAGTCAGGTATACAATGTTGACGAAACAGCTCTAACAACTGTGAAAGGTACAGGAAAAGTAATAGCCAAAAAGGACAGAAACGTGCACGTGCTACTTCATTGTTCAACCAAGGCACTGGAAGTCTTTTAAAGAGCTTTGTTTTACCTATATTATTTAAAGCTGCTTCTATAATTATATTGTTTAAGGAGGTAATATTAGAGTTTATATCATCACTTGGATGATAGTTTTCAATTTTATTTTCAATGTCGACTTGATAAGACGACCAGTTTGCAGTCCTTAATTTCCAGGATTAATAGATTGAAAAATTAGGAGATTTAATTTCATTAAATGAAATGCAGATAGGAAAGTGATCACTGTCATATAACGGTTTTAAAGTATTCCACGTGAGAAACGTTGATTAACTACATAATGATAAATCTATGGCGGAAAAGGAGCCGTTATATGAGTTAAATCTGGTATGTACCCCTGTATTAATTAATAGTAGATCAGGGTCAATGAGATGTTTCACTAGATTACCGACAGTTCTCCCCTAAAATTATTTTTCGGTGTGGAATTTGATCAATAAGGTAATTTAGTTCTTGTAGGTCTAGCTCGCTAGGATGTGGTAAATAAATGTTCCATATATTAATATGTTTTTTGGTATGTAATACTAACTGCTACAGCTTCTAGATTAGTTGTTCGAGCTTGGCTTAGCTTCTAGGTCTGTACTTAGCTTAGCTTCTCCGTCACTGGCCTGTTGTTCTACTCTGTTTTTTGAAAAACATTGATAATTTCGAAGATTTATATAAACTTGTTTAAAATGAGTTTGTTGAAGACATAATATCTTTGGGCATAATTCATTTATTAAAAGTTTTAACTGTTCTAAATGGGTATAAAACCCCTTAAGATTTCACTATAAGATAAAGGAATTTTACATGTCAGAATTCTGCCTAAGATAATTGTTCATCTGTCTGTTCTGTGGAAGAGATATTTGGGGTTTAGTTTTTTTTTAATCTAGTTATATTGTTTTTTAATTTTAAATTGAGGTTATAAGCGTGAACAAAATTAAGGATCTCAATTACTGCTACTAATTTGACAATGGCAAGTGCGATCTTA